ATTAGAAAAAAAATTAAACCACAATGGTTACCCTACTAGCTCTACAGTGCACTGTCAATTTCAGCATCAAAGGAGCCCATTGTGACTTGAATGTGGGCATAAAAAATGAATCCGTTTCTCAATAACCATGTTAACCACAAACAAATTTCATCCAAATTTATTTTTGAATCATCTTACCTGTTTGCCTTTGCCCCATGACTTCATGCCATTTACCCTGTTTACTCAACGGCGCTGCCTTGTTCAAATTACATGGAAGGGTTTGTTTATTATTGGTCCCATTGGAGCTGTTGCCACCTGGAAATATGTGACATCATGGTTTAAAAAAAAGGTTATCGTTGAGTTTCATTTCGAAAGCACAGAGTCAGCGTCTCAACCAAACTGGTGTTGCCCAAGCACACTTGCAGACTTGAAAGTAGAAATTGAATTGGATTGTTAGGGGGAAAAAACCCCCAAAACAAACAAAATGAAATTTATCATTAGTGGTTCTCAGGCCTGGCCGTATTCCTATCAGATATGACAGGAAAAATTCATCAAAGCATTTCACCAAATAATTTAATGCAGAGAAATAACAGCATATCTTCACACAGTCAATACAGATTTCGTCGTATTGTGTTAAGGTGTATCGAATAGCTAAATAAATGTAATAATAACGATAGATAATTTTGTAAATGTTTTGTCATTCAGTTCTGCATACGGGTCGCCATTGTCGTGTGACGTCACATTAAAGTCGGCCAGTAAACTGGGGGTCCTTTTTTTCCGATTTAGCAACTTGGATCACCCAGTTCAAAGGGGCTTTCCACTGCACTTTTCCAGGTCGGAGATCGAAAATGTCCGTCATCCCGCCTTCATTGAATGCAGCATTAGGACACATCTGCAAAGTATAAGCATCACCAGGAAGTAAACAAAAGCCAGGGACTCCCACTCATCACATGACGAGAGACACAGCTGTGGAAGAGTCAAGTGAACAGTAAGAACTGATTGGCTGGCACACAGCGTAGGTTCACACTGCAGCTTAATTTTCCGACCCCTTCGCCCCACATATGCGACAAGCCTTTTGATTTCATCTTATGTAGAATTGCGATTTTTTTTTTCTTTTCAAATCCAACCTGGGATTCTTTCGTATGTGGATATAATCCAATATTTATGCTATGCGTCTGCAGTATGAACGCTCATCCGCACAGGCATACATACGCATCACATCTGAAACGTACGTCATCAAAGCCCAATATGCACTCCTACAGAGTGTTCGGGAGACAACTGACATTATCCGTGAATCTGCAGAGTTGTTTTGAGTAACAGTTGAATCAATGCTCCTAAATCACAGCTACAATCATTTGTTTGAATCATTAAACTGTGCGACTTCAGCACCAAACAATATAGTGAATGACAAATTTAAAGACTTCACTTTTATAAATTGTGCTCTCACTTGTCTTTCCTGTTATTGCACTGCCATCGCGTGTTAGTGGGATGTCATTGCAACTAGTCTCGAAAACGTGCACATTTTAATGTAGTTCATCACATTCATCACAATTACATGCGCATCACTACTTAGGAGAAAACAGAAATGTGGTATAAAAGAACCTTCAACAGAAGGACTTGATCAGCTCTCTCCCCAAAAAGCACTTTTTGCTACGTACTGTGGTGATGCCAGGTTGCATATATCAATTTTAGCGGCGAGTGTCGTTTCTTTTTCTTGGGACTGCTTGGGAAAACGTGAAAAGTAAATTCAAAATTCAGGCTCAAGATTGTCATTGTAACGAAAAAGTCCTCTACGGTAATTCAATACATGAAGAAAACACCACACTTGTTTTGGTTATTCTTACTTTAAGAATGAAAGGTCAACAGGTGTACAATGTACAATCTGCAAGTTCTCTGAGGAGATGCAGTCAGCTCTTCTTTTAAATAAAGCTACCATGAGAGGGTGGCAGGGTGGAACAGTGGGCAACTGGTTAGCAAGGTGGGAGTGCAGATGGTTGTTTGTGTATGTGTGCCCTGCGATTGTCTGGCAACCAGTTCAGGGTGTTCCCCGCTTACTGCTTGAAGACAGCTGGGATAGGCTCCAGCATGCCCGCAATCCTCGCGAGGATAAACGGATTAGAAAATGGATGGATGGAGAGGGTGGGAAAAGGCCAACAGTGATAACCATCCAAGGCTACATTTACACCATGTTACTGGCAGCTCCTTTGGCCCGAAACCACTGCGCCGTGGGATTTTGGCCATTTTTTTCTCTGTATTCAAGTCCCGCTAACTTTTCTCACGGCCGATCACGATCTCCGTGAGAGGGGTGGGGAAGGAGATGACTGCTGGATCCCGTTTGGACTCAACGCTATTGAAATTGTAAACACTGCCACCTGTTGTTCAAGTGGACACATGACACGCAGTGCCATATCCGATTCAATGAAATATGAAACGCAGTGCCATATTCGATTCCGTGTTGTTATAATATATATCAATGCACAGAGTACAGACAACCAAATGCAGTCAGCGTCTTCACAGAAATGCAAATAGAGCAGAGAGCACAGACTGTGTATATCAAATGAAGCAGATTATAAATAAAATGGTACATAAGATATTGTTAAAAAAATCAGGTGCCACGGTGGATGAATGGTTCGCACGTCCTTTTCACAGTTCTGAGGTTCGTGGTTTCATATCCAGGCTCCGGCCTTCCTGTGTGGCGTTTCCATGTTCTCCCCAAACTGGACTCCAGTTTCCTCCCACATTTCAAAAATATGCATGGTGACTGAGAACTGCAAACTGTCCTGGGTGTGAATTGTCGATTTGTGCCCTGTGATTGGCTGACGACCAGTTCAGGGTGGACCCCACCTCTCGCCGACAGTTAGCTGGGATGTGCTCCTGTGCTGGAGCACGCACAGGAGCACCCTCGACCAGGGACGTACTGGAGTCGAAACTCTGCCCGGGATTTTGAGATGGAGAGGCCTCCAGCGCGTGCGACCAAAGGCACACAGAGAAACAATTAAAAAACAAAGTAAAAATGTTTGAACATCCAGCATTTGACACTCTGACTTTGATTTAAGGTAAGTATTATACCCTTTTGCACTTATTGTCAGAGGTGAGCATTCCGTCAGTACTGACGGGAGGTCTGTCAGTCCGTCACTGACGGCACCCGTTATGGTAGCGATTGATGAATGATGGGAAACCAGAAAAAAGAAATGAAGGACTTAGTACTGACTGAAGTGGGTCTTCATTCGTCAATGTAATCGATTGACCAATCACTAACCGGGCTAAGTACCACTTAGTCCGTCCAGCACTGACAGACGCCCATTTTTGACGACTGACAGAAACACTGAGTTTCTTTGCAGGGGTTTCTTCGAAAGGACTGCATTGATAATAAATGTGTGAGTGAGTATTCTTGTTTTCAACAGGGACTCTGCGAGGACATGGTTGGCCGGTTGTGATTGGCTAAGGAGGCAGGACCAGATGGTGTCACTTCACTTTGCTATGTCTAATATTTATGTGTGTGTATTTATTTGCATATAAACCTTTACGGTGATTTACCACCAGTTCAGGGTGTACCCCGCCTACTGCCTGAAGATGGATGGGATGGGATCCAGCACGCTCGCAGCGCTTGTGAGGATAAACGGATTAGACAGTGGATGGATGGATAAACCTTTATCGTTGAGGTTTTCTCTTATATCTTGGTGAAATCATTTTGATTCAAGACTACCCTGTTTGTTTGTTCACAGGGCTGAATTGAATACGAGCAGGTTTGCTTCCACTGATGACAGTGAACCCTCATTTATCACGAGGGTTATATTCAAAAAAGAAACCACGATAGGCGAAATCCGTGAATTGGTCAGCGTAAAGTTTTTCTTCCAAGTTGAGAAAGACTAGATGAGTCGAGCAATATACAGCAGCCTTTATTGTCAGACGTCCATCGCTGATGAAAACTATTTTTGGGTGAAAAAATATTGACAAAAATATAAAATTACACAGTATACAATAGACATGCATGCATCTCAACGACATAAAACGCACATTAGTCATGGCCACATACTGTTTCGCCTTCTCAACAGGAATTTAGGAGTAATTAGAAGAAATTGAAGCTCTTGCTGTATGCATCTCATGCTTTCATCTCTTTCCCCACACTGACCCGACTCCTAATAAGTACCGGTACTTCCTGCCACTCAATGGAAACCTCAAATATAACAGCAGGGGGCACAATAACCCCAATAAGTGTGGAGTCTTTACCATCATGTAGAAAGATCCATTATTCTAATGTTACCGGAACTTAGAATCACGAGAGTTAGTCAGCTTTATATGTACAATTATTATACAATACTGCACTGTAGAAACAAACCCAAGATCAAAACATGTTTTTGTTGCAAACGTAAATTTGGTAAGCTGTACAGAGACGAGGCACAGAGACTGTTGACATTGGTCTACAGTCCGTTTGCCACTCAGGATGTAGAACACAATACACTACAGAAAAATCAGTGAAACAGCAAAGTGCAGTGAAACTGCGTTAAAGCGAGGGTTTACTGTAGATTGGAAATTATTTGCGCTTCCTGCACAGTACGTGGCGTTATACACCAAAGCGCTGTAATCCGCCAATGGGTCAAGAAGAAGAAGAAGCAGAAGCACACAACACAACAATCATTTATAGAAAAAGAGTGGATGTGCAAGATACTTGCATTGGATTTTACCCTTGGTCACAATGCACAACTGGATTCTGGTTAAGCTAAGCCCTTTTAAACTATAAATTCAAACCTTTTCGCCTTTTAGGGGTTAACATAACTGCAGGCAGTCACCAATTAAATAGATTGGCAAATAAGTGTATGTGAAATGTATGTGTGAGAGAAGCTCTTTTACCATCTTAATCACATAGGATTTTTCATCTGTTATTCAATGACGTGGGTTTTTTTGGGGGTAGGGGCGGGGGGTGATAATAGACACAGTGAATGACCGGTGAAATTCACTGACAGAAGCGATAAATAACATGATGGATTGACCGACTGATGAGTACAGATTGGTTCAGCTTGAAATAAATATGACGGACTGACTATGACGGATGGGTGCCCAGGCCACTGACGGATGATGAATGACGGACTGACAAATTTTTGAAAATTACCCACCTCTGGTTACAAGTACATACCGTACTTCATTTCTTGCACTTATTTTGTTTTTCAAAACATGTTTAACTGAGGCAGAGTTGCGACCAATTCAAACAATTATGCAGTCTTTCAACCCCTTTGAAGGACATACTATAAAATAGCCTAAAATGGACACTTACTCCTCATTCAATGATTCTCAGCATTGATGATTTGCTATTTTGGTACAATGAGGTGCCATGGCTGCCAGAAGGTATGCAATATTACAGTGTTATGAAGAATGGAAACTAACAACTTCATTGTTCCTGAGGACTGCCAACCCACCAGGCAATGAAATAAGGTGCACGGATGAAGCTTCTGGTTGAAGGCAGTGCGCTGGGACAGAATAGCACCGACTCCTGAATCTGAAGCATCCACCTGTACAATGAAAGGCAATTCAAGGTTAGGATGAAGAACAGATGAAACAGTAAACAGCTGTTTTGAATGCACAAACCCAGTTTTGACTTCTGGGATTAAAAAAAAAAAAAAAATCTTGATAGATGTAAGCCTAAGCGTGGGTTCAACTTTGTTGCAGATATTACAGATAAAACACCTGTAGAAATTCGATGACACCCAGGAACCTCTGCAAATTGTCACTTGATGGCGGAGTGAGCCAACTGACCACAAGATGGATTTTGGTTGGATCTTTTAAACCTGACACCTGGTTGTGGAATTGAATGGGTGTGAAATGAAACTTTTTCTGCTTGAATAAACAATCTGTTTTCGAGAAGGTACTTAAGCACAAGAAGAATCTGCTGGTGGTGTCGATGAATATTGCAGGAAAAGTAATACTGTTGTCAAGATACATGAAGCAGAGCTGGTCAAACCATCCATCAATGCACTTATTTCTGCTCATCCGAGATCGGCTCTCGGGGGGGGAGCAGCTTTAGCAGGGAAGCCCAGACATCCCTTTCCCCAGCCACTTCATCAAGCTCTTCCGAGGGAATACCAAGACGTTTCCAGTCCAGCCGTAAGAGTCTTCCCTAGTGTGTCCTGCATTGTCCCCGAGGCTTTCTCCCAGTGGGACATTCCTGGAACACCTCGACAGGGAGTCATCCATGATGCATCACAAGTAGATGGTCAAGCCACCTCATCTGGGGCTCCTCTCGATGTGGACAAGCAGTGGTTCTACTCTGAAACTCTCTCGGCTGACTGAGCTTCTCACCCTGTCCTTAAGGAAGAGACCAGAGACCCTTCTGAGGAAACTAATTTCAGCTGCTTGAACCCGTGATTTTGTTCTTTCGGTCTTGACCCACAGCTCATGACGATAGATGATGGTAGGAACATAAACCAACCAGTAAATCGAGAGCTTCGTTTTTCGGCTCAGCTCCCTCTTCACCACGACAGATTGATACAGAGTTCATGTCACAGCAGATGTTTCCATGATCTGACTGTCATCTTCCCCTCAATCGGGCACAAGACCCCAAGATGCTTGTACTCTTCTTCCTGGGCTAAGATCTTACCCCAACCTGAAGAGGGCACACCACCTTTTTCTGTCTGAGGACCATGGTCTCAGATTGGGTGGTGCTTATTTTCGTCCCAACCCCTTCACACTCAGCTGCGAACTGCTCCAGTGCGAGTTGGAGATCATGGCTTGCTGGGGCCAACAGTACCACATCGTCTGCAAAAATCAGATATCCTATCTCTTGGCTGAATTTGTACATTTTGTCCATAACGGGCACTCGAAATTAATCCAACTTGCTAGCGGTAATGCGGACCAAACTCTGACATCACTCATACCAGGACCGCACAGCCCATATCAGTAACCCATACGCACCCACCACAGAACCCCCAGAGGGAAACCTGACATCACTCATACCAGGACCGCACAGCCCATATACATATAGGTCAAATACTTTCTCCAAGTCCACAAAATACATGTTGACTGGCTGGGCAAATTCCCATGCACCCTCGAGGACCCTGCTGCGGGTGTAAACCTGGTCCACTGTTCCATGGCCAGGACGATAACTGCACTGCTCCTCGGAAATCTGAGATTTGACTTCCCAATGGACCCTCTTTAGTTAGAACACACCCTCCGCCACCAAGAGGGGCAATCACCACCCCTGTCTGCCAATCTAAAGGCACCGTCGTCATTTTCCACACGATTTTGTGGAGGCATTCCAACTCGAACAGCCCCACAACTGTGACTTAAAGCCCAGAGGTAGGAGAGCCCGTGTCACAATGTTCCCAGTTGAGGTCAGCAGCACCCCATCTCCACTATAGTTATAATGGTGTACTGCATCCCCCTCCTGAGATGCCGAATCGTGGACCCAAATTTCCTTGAAGACGTCTGGATGTTTTTTCCCACGGTCTCACCGAATTCCTCCAGAGGGCCGAAGGCCAAAAAGGTCCGATAGGACTCCTTCAGCTGGACAACACCTCTTACTGCTGGTGTCCACCAATGGGTTTGGGGTTGCCCCCACAATAGGCCCCGACCATCTCATGGGCACAGCTTTGTCAATTGACAGAATTGACAATGTACCGTGCCTCCTTGTCAATGGAGGCACGGTACATTGTCAATTCAATGTCTTACACCTCCCTCTGGATGTGGGTCAGATTTTGACAGGGGTGGGAGTAAAATGGTCTTCTGACAGGGATTCTACAATACCTTTAGGTCAGATCCAAGACACTACCAAGTGGTGATCAGTTGACCGTTCAGGCACCAATGGATGAGAGGGAGGATACCGCTCAACGGAGATAACAGGGCCGCCATACTACTTTAGACAAGAGCAAGCGACGAGTATAACCCAGCAATGACGACGGTTTGGGCCGTCTCGACATTCTGTTAAATTCCTGCTAGGTACTATTTCAACCCCATTTAAAAATCAGCAAATAAAGTGCTTTTGGTAGACCTAGCCACACCCAGAATGACTAACCTGAAGCGGCAGGAATTTTCTCATTTGGTCAGTCTGTGTTACCGACCATTCAGGCATCTATTTTGTGCGGAATGGATGATACAACCATTTACTAATGAGGAGAAATTCTCTCTCTCTCTCTCTCTCTCTCTCTCTCTCTCTCTCTCTCTCTCTCTCTCTCTCTCGTATGACAAAAAGTACCGACTTTAATATCCATCCCTAGTCTTGTCTAAAGTGGTTACCCAATAATTTCAAAACATGAGAATCAGTTTTTAGAGTAAAACTACAGTTTCTTGAGCCTAATAAGCAGACATTGAAGGGGTCTTTATCATGGAAAATTCCAAAAAGGAGTCATCTCCTCCTGAGTCTACCTATGTAGTTTTCTATTCTGGTCTTCAAATTGTGAAAAAAAGTCCTTAACCTAAAGCAGTGGTTCTTAACCTGGGTTCAATCGAACCCTAGGGGTTCGGTGAATCGGTCTCGGGTTCGACGGAGCCTCTGCCATGGAGGTTAAGACATACCCAACTCAACATGTCAATTAGTTATGACACGCCCGCTTGGCCATCACTGGCTGCAGGTGATCACATTACATTGCTTGTCCAATCAGTGCTGCGGGAAAATTAGTTCGCTCAGTAGTCAAAGTGTGACTGTCGTTTTTAAAAAAATGCATTTTTTATGTCTTGAATTTGTAAAAAGTCATATTTTTGTTTTTCACAAATGAAGGGTTCGGTGAATGTGCATATGAACTGGTTGGGTTCGGTACCTCGAACAAGGTTAAGAACCACTTCCCTTAAGATTGATTCACACATAGAGATGATGCTGAATGATATTCGGAGTACTCAAGATTGTGGCGACTTACCAGTGATTAGTGGCGTAATGCAGGGATGATTGTGACATTATATCGTTGGTAGCCATAGGAGTCATGGTTCTCATTGTCTGTGATGATCCAGACATATGCGATAGTGACAAGGTCGTGACCTCCTCAGCCTTGTGCATTCTGCTGTGGTAAGCCGTCCTCTGCCGAGCTGGAAAGGCTTCCTCCACTGTCATTGAAGGCCGACTCGGGTACGAAGACGTGAAGGTGATGGGGTCCAGGGTTGATCACAGGAGTATAGGACAGTCATACATGCTTCTGAAGATGCACTCAGTAAATCCACTGATTGATCCCATTCATATTCACAAAAACAGTTAGTGTCGAAACAAATAGTGACATTTATCAGCTCCTCAAGTATCATCTCAAGCAATCAGTTCAACTTTTATTTCTGGATTTAATCCTGGCTGAAAGTTGCTCCAAAGAGCTGTGTTATCAAATGAACAAATTGGAGTATTCAGCTACTGAAGGCTTCTCTGGTGAAAACTCAAGAAGCTGACTGATTACTTGCCTTTATTCGGGTGATCAAAAACTGCCACACCTCTACAATAAACGTGGGCAAGGAAGAATGTCTGGACAGCAGTTGCTTATCGCCATAGCCTGAAGCCTCAACTTGCAAATCCAACAAAGTTGCAGCATCCATGAATTTGTGAATCGGGGGGTTGTACTGACTCATGAGCTAGACAGATCCTTATGTAATTGTTTAGCATTTGTGAGGTCATTGGCCGGAGTATTCTGTTAGAATTGGCAAATGATCAAAGGATAGATCACTACAGAGACAAAGGGGCAACAATTACACGGGTTGTATTTAACCAAAAGAGTGAAAAGCAGAACAATCTAAGTAACGAAAATGAAAAACAATGACGGTTAAAAAAAGAAATGCAAATACAAAACAAAAGTGGATGGAGCTGCAGTGGGCGGAAGGTACAGGCTTAAATACAAAAAAATGAACTCTTACCGACATGACAGTGAAAAATAACACAAGTACATACGTACTAATACCAAAAGCAAACTATAAGTATGAGATGATATCCAACAAGTAACGAGCAAGACTAAACAAGAGCTATAGCAACAAGCAAAGCAGCCAGTAAGGCAATACTGGGGCAAATTCTTTCCGCTGAAGCCACATCTAAATACCATACGAGGCAAATGCTACCAGTTGCTTCAGGGAAAGCTCCGCCCACCAGCCCGCCAAAAGGATTGTGGAAACAGAACCTCGTCACCGGCAGGCAAACGCACAAAACATGTCAGATACTGTGTCAAGAGGCCCTTGAATATCACATTGGGTACTTGCTGTATGCCCCATCGTGATACATGCATACTTTTCGGGGTTTTTTTTTTCACTTTGCTCATGCTTCTAAATAAATTGGCATCCCAAAGCAGACTCTGGTACTTCCAGATAGTGTGATCCTTTTAAACATCAGCGAACCCTTGCGAGGTTGTTCTTATCTTCATTACCGTTTCCGATGCTTATGGACTTAATGCAGTGGCGGTAGAAGTTTACAAGCCGTGTCTGGCTCAGTTTAAATGCCATGGACATGATGGCCATGCCAGAAATGGTGAAGAGTGAAGTAAGCATGAAAAAATTGGGATGATGAGGGACAATGTCTCCAAACCCAATAGTGGTGAGTGTGATAAAACAGAAGTAGTAAGGGTCAAATCCCTTCATTTCTGTCTCCCACACTGGCAGAATCAAACCTCCAAGAAAAATGTAAGTAAACACGATGAAAAGAATAAGCACAAATGGTACATTTAGCGTTTCCATCGTATCTCCTATTTCTGTCAAGTCCCAAATGGCAAATCCTTTGGGCAATGGCGGCATTCGATTCAGTTCTGGGCAGGATAGGCTCCTGAGCAGGGGTCCCTTTCGCTGGAGCTTCTCTTTGGCAAGAATCTTCTCAAAGATTTCTCGATTTTTTTGGAACTGCATGGAATTGGACTTCACATTCACATGACTTTGCAACGCTTTCCGAATGGTGAGTCGTTCGTGAAGCGCAATATCATGGCTGAAAACAGTGGTACCATCCTCCAATGTCCGATGGTTCGACTGCCTTGCGTTCTTGTGAGCCCTGAGCTTGGACCAACTGTGTGAGTGCAGGACTTCGAGGAAGGCGTGAGCATGAACATATGCTTTGGTCAGCAGCTTAGCAAGGAAATCTCCAATATCAAGCATGACTAAAAGCATGAGCGGAATGCCCACCATAGCGTACAAGACACACGACACCTTACCAGGTAGGGTGACTGGATAGATGGCCCCATACCCTGCAAAGCACATGGAACAAAATGAACACAATCAGTGTTAAATGCACTTCACAAGAACACACAGTCAGAAGGAGTCATCTTGCATCATGCCAATTCAAGGCCTCACACAGCAGAGCATCAACGAGCTGGGCTGGGAACTGCTCCCCCCATGCCCTTTACAGCCCAGACCTTGCCCCTTCAGACTTTCCCCTGTTTGGTCCCTGAAAAATCATTCACGAGAGGTACGAAGTATTGAAAGTGACGATAAAGTCAAAAGTGTTGTGAGTGACTGGCTGAGGCATCAGTCCAAAGATTATTACGCTGAGGGTATATGGAAGATTGTGAGCAGATGGGAAAAGTATGTGACAGTGCTGGGAGACTACGATGAAAAATAAAAAAATAAGTAAGCTTCTATCTGTATTAGAAGCCATCATGTGGAAGAATGGAAGAATTTACCTTATTCATTGACTGACCCTTGTCAGTGTGTGTGTATATATATATATCTAATCTAATCTAAAACTGCCAACACCCCTGAATTTCTAACCCATACACACACACACACACACACACACACACACACACACACACACACACACACACACACACACAGACATACTAGGGCAGGTGCTGTGAAAGTGTAACTGGTGCAAACAGCTCCAAAGGTGATGTCAAGGGCAAAAGGGGTCCTTCATTATGTTTTTGTGCTCTGCTGAGTTGAACTGATGTGGCGATGTCTGCAAGAATGGGGCAAAGGAGTGGGTGATGATCTTTTCTGTAGAGTCACTGATTTTGTTCAGGGCCTTTTTATCCGCAGCTGTACAGCCTGCATACCACATTGAGATGCAGCATATGAGGATGCTCTATATGTCAAATGCCTCCAGCAACTTCCTTTTCCGCATGTTTCCTCTCGAGCACTCTGACAAAGTGAATCATCATTTGAGAAATGCTGACTTCAAGATTCCAATAAAGTGATTTCAAACATTCATTTTCATGTCGAGTCAATTATATACTTGAAACAGTGTACTGGAATGTTGTGCGTTGTGGCTTTGACCTCATGATGTTGCTTGTAAAGAGCTAAATTATGCCAAAGACAACCACACATTGGCCTTTTGTGGTGTGTAAAAGCATTCTCCTCTCCTGTTAAAGTTGCGGGCCATTAGCCATTAGCAGACTTAGGGTGTGCAGAGTTGGAGGAGTGGGGGATTCGGGGTGGGGCGGTCAATGAGGCTGCGGCCCCGGGTATCAACTTTGGACATCCGGATTAGCATCCAAAGGCCCAAGTACAGGATTTATTATTTATTATTATTATTATTTTTTTTTTATGGAGATTTACATACAAGAGCAACATCAACATTACACACCAATTCAAAGAGAATACTTTTTGATTGAGAGCATTTTAGTTATTTTTATTTCACAATATTAATGCCTGCCCGCCTACCATCATGTTGCTGTATAAGCCACTTCAGAAACAGCTTGCTGTATGATGCTATTTTGGTTTATACAACTGCAAACTATATAACAATAATACAAAGATTGGCACATTTAGGGCTCAATAATGACTGATTGTTAAATGTTTGTACTTTCTCTTCATTATTTTGTTAAAGTCAGTGAATTAGGTTTGCTGTTTTTGTTGATTTTTATGCAATGTCATTCCTTTGAATCTTCTGCCTTGCTCGCATCAGGACAAACACTGCTAATTGCAAATACACTCTTGTGAGACAAACACAAATATGGCACTCCCCCATATAGAGTATTGACATGAAATTCAATTGGCTCTACATGACAACATTTACTGAAAAAGCCATCCCTCCTATTGCCTTGATTAGGCTTGTCATGCTGTGGAGACCATCTGTCTCTTCTCAGATATTCCGATCATCCAAAAGCAGCTGCCTCTCATCTCTAATTTATGAGAGCTACTGGTTACAATTTTTTAGGAGGGGGGTGGGGGGATCACAGCTTGGTAGCAGAGCATTGCATTGCATAGTGTGTGCACTATTATTTACCGTATCTAATACTTGCGGATAGTCTCACACAGGATGCATTGCTTCTTAAATTGATTTCAGTACTGTAATAAAATGACTTTTGTATCAATAACTAACTCAAAGCCTTTCCTAACCTGGATTAGTATTCACTTCTGGTTTCATCACTTGGATTCCGTTGTGTTTCTCAGTCTTTAAAGGCAACTGTTGCCAAATGTTTCTGAACTTCTGGCAGTGTTTAAGGTGTCTACCACTTTGTCATTCACTTTTTCTTGCATTCGAATGCTTTGAATTTCTATTCTTACCAACTGGAAAAGTTTCAAAATATAAACATCAGCGTTCGATTACTGTCTGTGAACGAACTGTGTTAGATCTTGGCGACACTGTGTTGCACTTCATAGACCATCGCAATCCTTAGTTTTTCCCTAGTGAGTATCTCTAATCGTATATTTCAATCAAACAAACAAAAAGGCTTCAGACAGTCAATAAATAGGTGTGGGTCTTGAAAGAATAGAACAATGAGCGATCTCAAAATCTCTGAGGTATACCAATACATTCACATTAATAAGGTTAGTCGTGTTTTGTTAAAAGAGGTTGGACGCAGTTTTCTGTAGCTCAAAGCAGACATATGAGCCAGCCAAAACGACCACTTCAGACTGCATAGTAACTACATGACTGGGATACTTCATGCAAACAAGCTTCATGTCACATTATATCATAAAACTGCAATCAATCTTCAAAGTTTATGTGAACATCTGTACGTATGTCAACTTCAACTGCCCGCTGCAAATATTAAAAGGATTGGCCCCATTATTTTGAATATGATGAGCATAAAGGTTTCCTTGCCATGGGCGGTCACTAGACCTTCATGACAAAAACACTTATTGTCCATCCATCCATCCATCCATCCATCCATCCATCCATCCATCCATCCATCCATCCATCCATCCATTTCCTGATCCGCTTTATCCTCACAAGGGTCACGGGTGGTGCTGGAGCCCATCCCAGCCGTCTTTGGGCAGTAGGCGGGGTACACCCTGAACTGGTTGCCAGCCAATCGCAAGGCCAACATTGACGAACAATCATTTGCGCTCACACTCACACCTAGGGACAATTTCGAATGTTCCATTAACCTGCCATGCATGTTTTGAGAATGTGAGAGGAAACGGGAGTACCCAGAGAAAACTCACACAGGCACGGGGAGAACATGCAAACTCCACACAGGACGGCCGGAGATGGAATCGAACCCTACACCTCTGCTGACACACTATTGATCAGTCCAAAGGAGAGGATGTTACTTTTATTTTGTCATTAATAAATTATTGAGCAATCGAAAGTGTTTAAAACGGCGTGCTGTCTTTCATGCTGCTATGTTAATAGTAGACCAAACATGATGCTTTTGGGGTCTCGTGAAAAAAATGTGGATCTTGGAGATTTGAGGATGCCGCCCAATGCATGCGATATATTGTTGGCCAACTTCTATCGTACATGTGCAAACTGCATTGTTAACAATTTGGGAGGTTAGCAAATGAGATATACCGTAGTTGTCCTTGACCATACGTTCATAACTGATCATATTGGGCTGGTTAATCAATGCTTATTCATTTGTGAGGGAAATCACCGTGAACTCACCAACAGTCGTGAAGACTGTGCACACGAAGAACATGGAGCCAAAGAAGGTCCAGCTGTCAGGTTGTTGGAGCCATATGGTCTTAAAGCCATCGTTCATTTTATGCTCCACTTCGTCCACTATGTTTTGGTGGGTGTACGATGAGTTATCTACAGTTAAAATAAAAGGAGTTGACGTCACTTGGTTGTGGGGGATAACCTAATGTGCAAAGTCTTGATATGAACAGGAAAAGTTAGTTAACATGCAAAAGAAGGCACACTCCTTACAGTTAAGTGATATAATCTATGAAATGCATTCGAATGCCATTCCAGCATTATTTGTCAAACGTACTGGTGAGATTCTGGACATGCCGAATAATGTGTCCCAAGAAGCCATGGTATTCCTGTTTGGCAGGGGGTGCTCTCCCTTCAATGTATTGGAACAAAAGCGCGCCCAGCGCCGCGTAGCCGACCAGAGACACGCACAGCATGACATGAGGAAGGAGCTTCCAAAACCACACCAAGTTCGCCTTGAACTTGCCGATGGGGCTCATTGCTTGCTTGTCTGGCGTAGATCTCATTTTCTCGCTCCTCGATTGTTCTCTCCTTCTTCCGCTGTTGCAGAGCTCCGACAGTTGGCGCGGGAAGCACCCGTCCTGCCTCGATGCTTCACAAATGTGCTCTGGCTCTGTGTGCGCGCGCACACACACACACACGCACACACACACAAATAAACACACACACACACACACACACACACACACACACACATCATTCTACATGCAGATCACAAAGACGACCCTGACACCCCCACGGGAGCTCCACCATATACACTACCTAATTGTATTGCTGCCTGCGGTGCAGTTATGACAGACATGGTTGGACCACTTTGGAAATCAACCTCAGCTAAAAATCCAAAGTATATGAGAATAAACTGTTAAAAAAATCCCAGCATTGTAGACATTCAAAGATATCCACAATTTGATTCAGATTTACAATATTCATTGAGAAAGTATGGTAAATGCCAAATCATGCTCTAGCTTGTCATGTAATCAAAAGAAAGTATTGTATAAGCACCTTTTTCAGGGTGAGCACCGACATCTAGTGGGTTCCTCTTTGGCCATTCATGCACGTCCCCTCTGCCAAATTAGGTCTTTTGTGTAATCATGTGAACTAAAAAAAAAAAAAAAAAAAAAAAAAAAAAAGAAAATGTAGACATTTTGCAAATGTGAGACCACAGCTCAGCTAATTTGCAAGATGATGTCATCACATATTATTGTCAGTGTGCTGCAAAGAGGTGACATCAGTGTGAACGCTTAGGAAAAAATGATCTTCAAAGCTACTGTGTGACACGTCACGTTTACATCATTGTCTTAGTATATGTGTGCTATACCATTTTTTTTAAACAAAATGTCATGTTTATACTTTATAGCGTAGCCCCTGGTACTGTAAAAGCCGGTATGCGCCATAGTCTATTGCTAACTCAAACAGTAGTTGACTCATCATTTCAGAAACTATCTATCTATCTATCTATCTATCTATCTATCTATCTATCTATCTATCTATCTATCTATCTATCTATCTATCTATCTTTTAATTTATTTTCTGCAGTTTACGAATCGATTCGGGCTCCTGAGGGGTCCAGATTTGAATCAGGAAGCCTAGAAGAAACACATTCATGAGATTATATAGAGACAATATGATAATGAGAGGCGGTTAGGTACGCCTCTCATGCAAATCCCAGAAACAAAGAAAGTAACATGACATCTGACCCAGTGTGGCTGGAAGAAGATGGGGGGGTTGAGGTGAGACCAGACCACCCCTACCCACAGTTTGGTGTGATGGCAAGTTCCAGAACCCCCGCTGTGCATACATCCTGAGATAAGAGGTCTTCCCAGGGGGGCTTAACAGCAATCAGGGACCGACCCAAGGTGCGGGGGGGAACAACAGAAGACACTTGGGGGGCCGTTAATCAACCAAGGAGGAAGAAGATAAACTTTAACACTACATACGTTGTTTTAAGTGTGCAAACAGTTGTTCAGGAAAGAGACTGAGATCAATAGTACTCATAGTAAAGTTCAGTCCCTCAATAGTTGCAACACAGATACTTGAGATAACAGTTCCTCTTTTGATGTTGACATGTCCTCTGGAGGGGTCATAAAAGTAGTGGGGGTGAGGGGGTACCAAAGGTGATTGTAATCACAGTAAGCAGGAAATACCTTCAACAGCATTTTACATTGTTTCTTTCAAATCCAGCTAACAGAGAGGAATCATATCTTAACACCATCCATTTTCTGATTTGCTTTATCCTCACAAGGGTCGCAGGGCATGCTGGAGGCTATCCCAGCTGTCTTTGGGCAGTAGGCGGGGTGCACCCTGAACTGGTTGCCAGCCAATCGCAGGGCACGCAGAGGCAAACAACCCTCTGCACTCACACTCACACTGAGGGACACTTTAGAGTGTTCAATCAGCCTGTCATGCATATTTTTGGAATGTGGGAGGAAATCGGAGTACCCAGAGAAAACCCACGTAAGCACGGGGAGAACAAGCAAACTCCATTTCCAGTAATATAGCAAATATAATTTTTTAAAGTTAGATTTTAGCTTGGGCTGCATGGTGGACATGGTGGTTAGCACATCAGCCTCACTGTACTAAGGTTCAGTGTTTGATTCCGGATTCCGGCATTCCTGTGTGCAGTTTGCATGTTCTCCCCGTTCCTGCGTGGGTGTTCTCCGGGTACTCCAGTTTCCTCCTGCATTCCAAAAACATGCACGGTAGGTTAATTGAGCACTCTAAATTTTCCCTAGGGGTATTTGTGAGTATGAGTCGTTTGCCGGAATGTGCCCTGTGATTGGCTGGCAACCAGTTCAGGGTGTACCCAGTCTGCTGCCCAAAGGCAGTTAGGACAGTCTCCAGCACGCCTGCGACTCTGCAACCCTCGTGAGGATAAGTAGTTTGGATAATAGATGGATATTTCAGCTTTCCTATACTCTCAATAAGCTACAGACATGAATGGATGGATCTTTATTCTGTACCATTTCATATTTGGCCCATCTCTTGATACTTTTTTATGATATTAACCCTTTTACAGACAGCGGTTACTAAAATGGACAGATATTCAAATGTTTTTTTCTCATATATTAAGTAATCTTAATGTCACAGTTGTGCATCAACCACCACAATGTACCTTGTGTCCATTCCATGTTCCAAGATTGCACGACTGTCTGTGTCCTATGTGTTGTGTTGTGTTATTTTTGTTATTTTGACTTCAAGATGGCGCCGCGAGAGTGGCTGCCTTTCCAGCAGCTCCTATATTTTGTTGTTCTACATCTTCCTTTCATAACTTTGCTGCTGTGAATTGGGAATTTCTCCATTGCAAGACTAATAAAGGTTTTCTTTTTCTTTTGTGTGTTGCCATCCACTGCCATTATTTTTTTTTCATGCCTAAAGACTAATAAAAACACTTCCTGATGTAGGTTATCATTATTTGCGCATGAAAGCGTTAATTTTATACAGTATCAATTATTCATATATTTTCCTTATTTTCATTGAAAAGAATAGGTGTTCTGATATCCTTGGAAATGAATAGGAAATATGTTAAAGAATCTCAATGGCATCTGTAGCAGGGTTATAAACTATTTTTGATGTAGGTCAGAACAGGCTCTGGATTTAGAATTTTTTTTTTTGTTTGTTTTAAACATAACACGAATATTAAAATCCCTGCTGAAAGCACCAAGGGCAACAGGTGCTGTGGGAGATCTATATTTAGGTGGCAAGCAAGTGCATGATAACAACAAGGACCGCTTTCTGTAAATACCACAGGACTGAAATGTTGTATTTGCAAGGTTGAAGCATTCTATTTCTAAAGGGGTGTTCACACGGCACACATTTGATCCGGCGCTGCACCGATGTATTTTGTTGTGATATAGTTTACACCAGAGCAAATTTTGTGGAGCGTTCACACGTACAAAGCCGCTGAGCGTGGCAGCACCGGCACAGCGTCGGTGCAGCTCCACTTCCGTTCACACGGCAGTTTCTGCAGCGGAGCAAAACGACAGAAAACAAATGAGCTGTCGTGTTGGTTCTTTTTTAAACGTATACACAACTCAAGCAACTACAGTACAGGAACGTCCTTCTCCTACTCGGTCTCCGTGCCTTCTGCTCGAGAGTGACCGCCCCCCGATAACGTAAATCAACGATGACTTCAATGACACTCAGAAAAGCAAAAATGTAATGCGCCAAACAGAAAAATCAAAAGATAAAATCACGAAATAAATTCTATGGCACGGGGGGGGGGGT